ATGATGTTATTTTGGTGATTTGATCGCACGAATAAGTCCGTAGAATATTTTTGAGGTTATGTGTATACTTGGGTTGGAGTTCTGAGGGCTCGGGTGAGGTTCGAGTAGGTTCCGGGATGTCTTAGGCTTAGAAAATCAGATGTTGCAAGTTCAGGAGTTGCAGGTCTCTGAACCCTCTAATGCGGTCCGCGAGAAATAGCATGCGACCGCGGAGGGCACAGCGCGGCCGCGGTCGCCTTTGTGCGGGGCGCGGTGGATGCTGTGCGGCCGCAGTCGGCTTTGTGCAGTCCGCACAGGGTGCTGAACTGCAGGTCTTCAGGTAAGCCTGCGCGGCCGCGGTCCATTTAATGCGGTCCGCACAGGGGGTCTCAGAGGGGTATAAATAAACGGGATTTTCAGTCATTTTTCATTTTTCAAAACCCTAAAAACATAAGAGGCGATTTTTCAAACAAACCTTCTTCTCCAAAATGTTGGTAAGTGATTTCTAACTTATTTTCTTCACTCCTTAACATCTTTTAACATGATTTCAACTTACAAGCAAAGATTTTCATGGGGAAATTGGGTGTTTTGGGTAGAACCTAGGTTTTTCAAAAATTGGGGATTTGGACCTCAATTTGAGGTCCGATTTCAAAACAAATTACATATTTGAGTTCGTGGGGGAATGGGTAATCGGGTTTTGGTTCGAACCTCGGGTTTTGACCACGTGGGCCCGGGGGCGATTTTTGACTTTTTGGGTAAAACTTTGGAAAACTCATTTTCATGCATTGGGGTTGATTCATTTAGTGTTTATTGATGTAATTAAGTAATTTGTGATTAGATACGAGCGAATTGGTGGTGGAATAAAGGGGTAAAGCTATAATTGAGGCTTGAGTTGTATTCAAGGCATTGAGGTAAGTGTTTGGCATAACCCTAGCTTGAAGGACTAGGAGTTGAGTCTTATTTGCTAATTGCTTCTTGTCGAGTACGACGTATAGGCATGGTGACGAATATCTATAAGTTGGTGTCTAGCATGACCGTGAGTCTTTAAATTGTGAATATCTTGATTTTGTTGTATTCATCTTACCTTGGTGATGATTCCTATTTGTTGTGAAAAGCTTGTGAAAGGAAATTGTGACCTATGAACATCGAGGAGCATTGGCTCAAGTTATATTACAAATGTGAAAGTATATGAAATGATTAAACCCTTTGGAGCATTGGCTCAAGTGGTAAAGTGAGATATGAAATAAAAGTGAAAGAAAGAGAAAGGGTATTTAAATTGTTCGCTTGCCGGGACGTTGAGAATATTGATGTTGTACCCTTGCCGGAATTTAATTGTTTAATTGTGTTCCCTTGCCGGGATTTCTATTATTATTTTGTTTATTCCCTTGCCCCTTGTTTGTGATTGTTGTTTGGGTGAGGAAGAGTGAAAAGCACGAAGGGTGATGTCGTACATTGTTTGTTTATTGTGAGGAAAGAGTGTAAAGCACGAAGGGTGGTGCCGTGCATTGTTTGTTTATTGTGAGGAAAGAGTGTAAAACACGAAGGGTGATGTCGTGCATTGTTTGCTATTGGTGAGGAAAGAGTGTAAAGCACGAAGGGTGATGCCGTGCCGCACGATGTACCATTCCGTGCCAATTCTATTGATTATATGTGAGGAAAGAGAGTAAAAGCACGAAGGGTGATGCCGTGCACATTTTATTATTCTAATTGCTTGGTGAGGACGAGAGTAAAAGCACGAAGGGTGATGTCGTGCACTTGTCTTTGATTTTCCTAATTTTTGCTGATAATCGAGTTATGTTGTCCTTTATTTCTATTTATTGATTTTCTTGTTGTTATCGGTTCAAGTGCATTAGTTGTCTTATTCCACTATTACTGAGATTCTTTATGTTGGCATTTTCTTTTATTGTGTTACATGTTTATGTGATTTAATTGCTACTTGACATTTAGCATACTAAATATTAAATTGCCTATTTGCTCCTTAAAGTCCATAATGAATTGCTACTTGTCATTAATTATTTTCTTCAGTGAGTCATAATTATTATGTACTTGTTGTCTTATGAATTCGTATAAATTGTTGCGTTTGTTGGAGTAAATTTCATTTGGAAGAACTGTTGATTTAATGAAATGGGAGCGGGTGGTACGCCTACCACGAGATTTAATAAAATGGGAGCGGGTGGTACGCCTACCACGAGATTTAATAAAATGGGAGCGGGTGGTACGCCTACCACGAGATTTAATGCAATGGGAGCGGGTGGTACGCCTACCACGAGATTTAATGAAATGGGAGCGGGTGATATGCCTACCACGAGATTTAATGAAATGGGAGCGGGTGGTACGCCTACCACGGAAACATTGAGAAATGTGATCGGGTTGCACGCCTGCAACGAGATATGTTCTGACAGTGAAATCTGCTTTTATTTCCCTTATCCGTGTTAGAGTTAAATTATTGATGTTCTTTATTGTTTTCTTAAAATTTTGTATTATCTGCTATCCCCGAAGCATGTTCCCCTCCCATTTAAAAATGTTTGTTCTTGTTATTTTCCCGTTGTAGATATACATATATAACAGTACAAGTTGATGTGGTAGTCCTGTCTAGCCTCGTTACTACTTCGCCGAGGTTAGGCTAGGCACTTACCAGCACATGGGGTCGGTTGTGCTGATACTACACTCTGTGTTCTTTTGCACAGATCCAAGTCCCGGACAGCAGCAGTAGCTCGGGAGCCAGCCTTCAGTCCACCGAGACTCCGAGGTAGCCTTGCACGCGTCTGCAGGCCCGGCGTCTCCTCTATCTTATATTACATCCTGTTAGCTCATGTTTCGAGACAAACAGTGTTATATTCTTTTCAAACGATTGTATTTAGTACTCTTAGTAGTCCGTGGAAGATGTGACACCAGGTTCTGGCCAGAGGCATGTGTTGGTCTTCAGGATAGTTTGATTTTATATTTTATTTAAGTCTTCCGCTTTAATTTCATATTCCGCTGTCATTTAAATATTTAACGCTTGTTGTTACGATAGATAAAAGGATTTAAAATGAAATAGGTAGGAGTTTATGTTTTGTGGCTTGCCTAGCTTCCACGAGTAGGCGCCATCACGACCCCCGAGGGTGGGAAAATCCGGGTCGTGACACCATGTACCTATAATCACGCACCCAATGCATTTATTTCCTTAATGAAAATGTTCTTAGTACTTTTTAATATTTTTTCCAATATTTTCTTCTAAAACGATCCCCAACATATTTAAATGGTAATATGTTTTCCTATGTTTTTGTTGGAAACTAATTTATTCCATAACAAATTTTCTACTTCCCATACATGAATATTTTACTAGATAAAAAAGTACACGTACCTTTATATTCAACATAAACTCCAGCGAAATTATATCTTTATATTTTGATAAAAATAAAATACATATGTTTCAAGCAAAATAAAGTGTATATATATATATATATATATATATATATATATATATATATATATATNATATATAGATATATATATATAGATATATATATATATATATATATATATATTAAACCATGTAATTTTATATCATGATTATACCAAAGAGTACTTTCTTATTAAAAAGATCAAAGGTATATTACCACCTTAGTATACATAGTATTTCTCATTAAAATGGTATATTCTTAAAAAGGTCACAGAAGCTATTTTCTTGCATTAATATTTGAATACATGGTGTTTCTACCAAAAAATACTATACCAAGTACCATTATAACACATATTGAATTATACTATATATATAAATACATTAGTATACCTCTAAAAATAAATTATATCGGGAATATATAATACTATATTTCAATAAAGATATAATATAATTGAGTTATACCATGTATATTACCTTTTCCCCTATATTAATAAAATAGTGTACACAGAATTTCTCTACAAATTTATACCAAATATATATAATGAATAATTGAATATGTAGTATTAGTTTCATCATGATTGAATGAATAAAATGAGTGTAACGGTTAAAGAAGAGAAAGACTAAATCCCAATTTTAAAATAGGAGAGAGAGTGTGAAAGATAAATATATAATTTGTGCGTTGTAGCTGCTCGTTAATTATGTTTCATAATCTCTATCTGCCATTAGTGTAAAAAAGTTTGCCATTTATGGAATAAACAAAGAATAGTATTATTTTTTAAAATATTTTTTAAAAAGTGACTGGCTGTGTATTTTTGCCTTACTTTTACTTACTTAATATGTGTTATTTTCTTGTGAATTGTATAATTACTAAATAAGACTTTTTTTCCTTTGTCATGGTCATATATAACATATCAAATATAAAAAGTTATATCTAAGATATTTTTGGCAAAGTTACTCATGGATCAATTTGGGCTAAAAATCGGGAGAAATTCAAAAATAGCCAGACTTACAAGTGGTCATTCAAAAATAGCCACAGTTTCAAAAGTAATCGAAATTTAGTCACTTTTCATGTAAAGATAAATCTGAACGAAAGCACTGTTCAAAATCCGGAAAATACTCCAGCATAATATATTGGAACTCCAACATAATATACTGGAACTCCAGCATAATATACTGGAGTTCCAGAATAAGTATACTGGAGTTCCAGTATAATATACCGGTCCAGCATAATATGCTGGAAGTTCATACATAGGTGCTCAAATCTCCAGTATATTATGCTGGAAATTTATGTGTAAAAAATTCATTAAAATTGCAAAAATAATGGATATATTCCCATAACTTTAAAAATATAATGGGTTCAATGTTAAAAATCTTAAAAGTTGAAACCATAGAGTTTAAATCCTGTATTCGCCTCTGAACCCAACCTTGGCGGGCTGGACGGGCCAAATTTGACCGCCCTATTGTGACCTATAGTACGTTTAAATTTTGTTTTAAAAAAATTAAAAAATTTATGTCCGAATTCACGATCAAAATTAAAAGTTTGACATTAGAATAGAGGGAGTAATACTTAAAATTTAAAAATATATTTAGATAATTCGAGTTTAGATTAAATGTATATAATCTGCCAATGTGGAAAGAGAGAGAGAGGGGGGAAAGTGAGACATATACGGATCACCCCCAAAAGTCTGTAATCACTAAAGCAAAAAACAAAGAAATCAAATTTCCTTTTTCTAATTCACTTTCTGACCCAAAAAAAAGAAGAAAAAAAGGAAAAAGAGAACAGAAAATGAGCAGTGCAGAACAAGAACTTCTCAACATCAATCCTCTTGAGCTCAAATTCCCATGTAAAATTATCCTCCTTATTTTTATGTTAATTTTCATTATTTATTTTTCTTATTTTTAATTCCTTTTTTTAAAATCTTTTTATCTGTAATGGATTTTGATCAGTTGAGCTGAAGAAACAGATATCTTGTTCCCTTCAATTATCAAATAAAACTGAAAATCATGTTGCGTTTAAGGTACATTTTATTCCAAATTACGCTCTTTTTTTTTATATAATTCTTAATTTATTGTTTCTTATAAATTTTTGTTTTATTTTTTTTTCCAGGTCAAAACTACGAATCCTAAAAAATATTGTGTTCGTCCAAACACTGGCATTGTTTTGCCAAGATCCACTTGTGATGTCATTGGTATTAATATTACTTTTTTTTTTCAATCGCATATAAATTATCACATTTCTATATTTAGAAACTATTTGACGTTTTTTTATTTTTTTATTTTTGCCCTTGTAAATATGCTCTGATAAGAATTGATATGACTTGTTATAGGCTCCAATTATTCATAAACAAATAGTTCTATGTAAGTATTTAAGTAATTTACAGCTAATTTTAATGTATGATAGCATGTTAGTTATCATTTTTACTAGATTGTCAATTAATGTTAATCAAGAGATTTACCTGCAATTAGGTAATTACCTAATAAGTGACCTGATTGTGTGAATATTTTTTACACCTTTAGTGCATAGTTCTTAAACTTCTTGTAGAAAGTCTTGTTTGTGTATTTTATGTATATTTAACTTATGGGTCAAAAGTTTGTCTTTTTTTTTTCTTCAAAAGTTCCATGTTAGTTAGATACTGTCAAAAATTGAGAATTTGAGATGGAGGGAGTATTTGGAATAATCTCATCCGCGGTGTAAATGTATGCTGGTAGAAGGTAGGAGGTATCTGTGGAATAGTCGAAGTGCGCTTAAAATGGCCCAAACACCACCGTCTAAAAAAAAAGAGAACAAGAAAAGGAAGTTATTTCTGGTATTTTGATCTCTAAAGAAGTTCAAATGAACAACAATAGTTATGCCTGATGCCTCAATCCCAATTAAGTTGGTGTGATGTCCATTTAAGCTTATCAGTGCAGCTTCAATTTTAAGCTTGAACTTATAGTTCATCTAATTGGGATATTATAAGTATGCATCCTTTCTGGTCCTTGTTCAGCATCACATTATCAGTTTTAGATTGTTTTCTTGGATAACTGATCTTAGTTTTTTTTTTTTTTTTTTTTTTTTTTTTTTTTGCAGTAACAATGCAAGCGCAGAAGGAGGCGCCTGCTGACATGCAATGCAAGGACAAGTTTCTACTTCAGAGTGTGGTTGCAACTGCCGGTACCTCTCCAAAAGACATCACCCAAGAAATGGTAATTGTACAAATAAGTGGAATTTTCTCCTTTTCATTGCTTTATAATTTTGTCTGTGAAGACTGAAAGGTGTATCTTTGTTGTCATATTTAACTTAACCGTAATGAAATGTTTGATTAAGAAATGAACGATAAAATACGGATCACCTTTTAGTCGTCCTTGTCGTTACACAACCATTTAAGCTTAGTGAAGTTTTTTGATCCCTTTGTAGTTCAATAAGGAGCCTGGACGCGTTGTGGAAGAGTGCAAATTGAAAGTGATTTATCTTCCCCCACCACAACCACCATCTCCCGTTGCAGAAGGATCAGAAGAAGGTTCTTCGCCAAGACAGTCCTTGACAGAGAATGACAGTCAAAATGGTTCTGAGGTTGTTTACTGAATCGCTTATTCCTTATTTATCGCCTTTAATGATTCTTTTTGTATGTTTCGTCTTACTCTTAGTGAATCTTGATTATTCACGCTTATCATTGTTACCTGCAGCTCACAAGAACATTCCTTGAAACTCATGACAAATCTTCAGAGGTGAAATTTCTATACAATTTCATACTGTTCCGTACATTAACGTCCTATTAAAGTCAATAACATAAGTGCGTGTCTTTGTTTACTTATGTCCTATTGATAGTCAATATTATATGTGTGTACCGTCGTTTTGTGTATGAATGTCAAATTTTCTTTTATGTTCTATACCTGTGTGTATCTATGGATGTTATTATTTGCCGATATTCACATGTGGTAAGTTAGTATAGATTGACATGCACAAGTACTAAACATCTCCTATGTGTCTAATGCTTATGAGGCGTATTCATGGTTACTAATTTGTAGTATTTGGGAAGAACCAACATTCCCTTAGCAAGCGCATTCATGTTATTGGAAGGTGTCTAATGCTGACATAATCTAGCAGAGTTTCTTGTGTCTTTTGAGATGTTTCTGAATGACCTAATGATCTCAAAACATTTCTTATCTAAAGAAGAAGTGTAAATAAGTTAGGAGGTCGGGATGTAGACTGAAAACAACTCGAGTTTATTGCAGTATCTACGACATGTTACCAACTAATGTACAAATTCCTTGAGATGATTGTAAGTTTGAAAAACAGGTAGGTGTTTAATTGGCTTTGGAAGTTTGGGAGAGGGAGAGGGTAGGGAGGGCTTGAGATGGCTGGAGTCATTTGTTTAATCAAGTACAAACTAGAAAGATGAACAGAGGATGAGTGGGCCTTAGTATTAATTTTTGCTGCAAGCTTTATCTTGAACTCTGGTTAATCGAATTAAGCGGAACATCATTCTCTTCGTGATTCATTCTCCATTCCTCTCTTTACTCTCTTTGTGTGGGTGCAGTTGTCTTGTCATCCTAATTCATCAAAAGATGCTGGCTTGTCATATTAACTCTCCGTGTATTGTCCCGGACTAAAGTGAATCATTTGCAGACAATGAAACATCCGAATTTAGTAGTGATCTCAAGAGAAGTTTGATCTGTTCTTACCCCAAATTACTAGATAGTAGATTATGCTTTCAAGTTGATGATCTGTATATGGAACGATATTCCTTGTTATGTGAAACAACGACCTCAACTACATGGGACTCCCATCTTGCGGAGGAACTTCGTGTGTTCACTTGGTATTATTCCGTAATTACTGAAGAGTGATGACATTGTTTCCATGTCCTCGAACGAGTCAGGCTTTTTCTGCAAATGCGTTTGCAGCTACTCTTAAATCCTTCGAACTTTTGATGCTTGCTGTTGAATGATTTTATAGATATTGCTTGAAAGGAGATATTGCCCTGCGTCCTTACCTTACATTTCCGCATCAACATGATTAATCTGGACGTATCTTTTCAGGCAAAATCAGTTATTTACAGATTGACGGAGGAGAAAACTGCTTTTCTACATCACAGCAACAGACTTCGTCAAGAATTGGTAAGGGTAACATTACTTTCTATTTCTGATTCTTGTGCCTCCTAAAACTCCAACACTTGTAGAAAGGCCACGGAATTTGCTATATCTATGAGCAGTTTCATATGCAAGTCCTTCTGCCTGCCATTATTTATGTCCTCCTTTCACCTGAATAGTCGATTCATTCTAATGGTTTAAGTGAGAGCCAGCTGAACTTTCATACACAAACATCTATGCCTCAATCCCAAGCAAGTTGGGATATTTTGTATCGTGAGGATCATCATAAATTGAATAGTTTTATGCTGGCCGTCAACCTATTGCAACCGTCCTCCTTTATCCGTGTTGTTTACTGAACTTGCGTAAACAGACTATTAGTCTGCTTTGTAAAATTTGGATCAGAGTGGTCGTATCTTTTAGTTACAGTGACTTACTTCTGAAACACTATTTGTAGGAACTTCTGAGGCGCGATGTCGGCAAAAGTCGCGGCGGTGGTGGTGCTTCCTTCATGTTTGTCATCATTGTTGGCTTGATAGGTGTAGCTTTGGGCTACATCCTCAAAAGTTGAGCAGTAATCAAATGTTCAACTAAATGTTCATTTCTCAACCTCAGAGAAGCATTGAGGAGAAAAGAAGAGAGGCTGACCAGTGGTTGAAACAATGGTGATTTTTTGTCTTAGTTAGCTGAACTCATTAGTAGGAAAACATTGTCCTTTTATGTGGTATTTAATTGGCTCAAAAGAAGTTGCAACTACTTTAGTGACTAAGCATTATGGATGATAATTCTAGCTTGAAAAAATGTCCTAATAACTTTGTATCTATTAGATAAAGTAGTCTAATTTTCAGCTTTGGTAGACAGAGTTACTCGTAACTGTGCTGGTGGCAGGTAGCAGGGATTGTCGAGGTGATTATCAAACAAAAATAAAAATTTAGTCTATTTTATTTCTCCCATTGTGAAGATCATGTTACTCTCTTTGCCCTATTACAAGGTCCAAGACTTGATTAGGTCTTCATTGTTTATTTTTATGCTGCCCCAAAGAAGGAAAGTTTCTTGTTCTTTTCTTTTTTAAGAGAAATGAAAAAGGGAAGAAAATCACATGCTCTCTCACATTTTATGCAATATTATTTTCTAGTTAGTCCGTTTAAAAAATAATGGCATCTTTTTATATTTGATAATAATTTAACTTTCTAATTTATCTTTAGTGAAAGTTTTTGTAGTCACACAAAATAATAACATGTTTAAGATCACAAGTTTTAACAGTCTTATAACTATGCAAATATTATAATATGTTTACGTCACAAGTTTTTGTCTCGGTGATTTTTCTCGCGAATCAACCGCAGTTTGATAGCTAGGGATGACAATAGGGTAGGGCGGGATGGTTAAAATCTGGCCTCAGCCACAAATTCAACCTGCCCTACTGATCCATTTTGCTATTTTTATGGCAATTCAAATTTAGTGCTCAATTAATTGCCTATTTGAATTTTTATTTTGTTGATGAGGGTTCGATTTCTCGTCTTATAATTCCCTCTCAGCATTTCCCGTTTCCCTTCCCTACCCTTTATTTTATATGTTAAAAGATTTTGCAAAAAATAATTAGTGCATTAATGTTAAATAGAAAATGAGAGTGAATTAAGTTTTCGGGACAGCCCAGTTGGATTGGAGGGTGTTGTCCACACGGGCGATTTATCCATGGTACCAAATAACCCCTACAGTATAACTTGTGACATAATGAAGTCATTATAACTAAGAACCAGCTTCCATATTTACTTCTTTTTCCTAGAAGTTTTTAAAAAAAAAACTAATAAGGAAAAAATTCCCATTTAAAATAAAGGATATTTGACTTTTTTTTTCCCTTGAAGCCCACGTCTGCTCATATCTCTAAGCAACCACACACAAGTTTTCCCAATATAATACTTTTAATAACTATTTAAGGAATTTGGATAATGATTAAATATTACTCCACAACTCCACATACATTATTTATTTATACAAAGAGTCCAAAAACAAAGCAAAAGCAAAGCTTTTTCATTCAATCTTCCTATCTTGTTTCTCTTTTCCCCCCCCATCTTTTTATCAATCATTCTTCACAAAAAGGTATAATCCTTACTACCTTTAATCGTTATTATATTTTTTCTTTTTTATATTTTTTAATTTTATTAAGTAAATATTTCAAGTTTTTTTTATGAGTGGCATGGAACTAATTCGGGATTGAGGATTAATTGATTGATTGAGTTCAAGATTGTTGCTTTAGCAATTGGGTACTCTGTTGTTTGTTTTTACTGTATTACTTATTTCTGGAGTTGTTTTGTGAAGCAGCAAAATTAAAATTTTGATAATCTTATTAGCTTTACTTCCGTATAAATTTTTTTTTTTTCCAAATTGTTAGGATATGTTTTTTTCTTTTTTTTTGCATGGAATTAATTTGGGATTGAGGTTTAGTTGATTGATTGAGGTCAAAATTGTTGCTTTATCAATTGGGTGTTTTTTTTTTTGGTTTGTTTGCTTGTGTTTACTGTATTTCTTATTTCTGGAGTTGTTTTTTGAAGCAGCAAAAATCAAATTTTTGATGGTCTTATTAGCTTTATATCAGTTTACTCTTTTGCCAAGTTTTTAGGATTTAGTTTAATTTCTGTTTTGTAGAGAAATATGGGTTGTATTTTTATTTTTTTATTTTGGTTGAAGAAATTGGCTTTTTTGGTAAAAGGGTATGTTATTTCACATAAAGATTTATACTTTTTCTTATGGTTGAATTCAGGAAAATATGGCAAAGAGTTCATTCAGGCAAGAACATGATCTTGGTATGTATTGAACTTCTGTGTTGTTGCTTTAGTTATTATGCTTTTCTTTTTCCAAAATATGATTAGGGTTATTACTGGTATCTGATTCTGTATGCAGAGAAGAGGCGTGCTGAAGCTTCTAGGATTAGGGAAAAATACCCAGATAGGATTCCGGTGAGAATTAAGTTTTCAATTGGAATTTTTTATTAAGTATACAGATTAAATTTTGTTTGCTGAATGTTTGCTTCAATGTGAATGTAATTACCTGTGTAAGTGATTTGATGGAGAAAAGTATTTCGAACAGTTGCCAGAAAGTAACAAATAAGTATGTTGTTTATGCTCGGCGTTTGTTTTAATGGAGTTTGAGTTGTTGGCGAGGTTAAATTGCTGTCTGCTGATCTTTTAGCGTGCAGAATGCACAATCCGTGACTATAATCTTTATGGCCATCTAGTGGAGACTTTTGTCTGGTGTCTAATCCTAGATTGTCGTGGAAATTATTTATGAGGGCTTGCGTCATAATTCAGTTTTCAGCTACCTTTTTGGTTTTCTGGCTACTCCTACCTTAATTAAAGTGATTTCCGATACAATTCAAATGAGTAAATTTGATAGATAATGTTCTAATTAGCTGTTGGACTTCCTTTTCTTTGTTTGCTATTGCCTTAAGTACTAATTATGTCTAATACCACTGCAGTCTTACTGTACAAAACGAAGGTTGTGGTCGCCCTCCAATTCGCCTTCTTCCTTTTTGATATGCTTTTTATTTCATTTTTGGGAAGGTGTTGTGGACTGGTGGTATTTGGGTGAGTTTGAAATTGCAGTTACTGTATTAATGTTATGCAAAGGTGTGCATATCTTGTTTGTTCCGAGTCCCGAGGAAATAAAATGCACCTCATAGTGGGGAATTTGACAAATATAAAGTTGGCTAGAACTTATCTTTTTTTTTTTCTTTGCATGTAGCCACTAATGCTTGCATTAGGGTAGGCTGTCTACATCACACCCTTTAGGATGCGGCCCTTTCCGAGACCCTGCATGAATACGGGATGCTTTGTACACCGGGCTGGCGGTTGCCCTTTGCCCTTCCCTATATCCTTAGGAATAGCCTAACGTTCATTGGCTGGTGTGAGTGTATATGTCAGTTGGCTAATCTCATAGATCGAAATTCCACCTTAAGATGTGATAAAAGGGTATCCCGGTACACTAAGCTCCCGCTCTGCGCGGGGTCTTGGGAAGAGCCGGACCACAAGGGTCTATAGTACGTTTCCTTACCCTGCATTTTTGCAAGAGGCTGTTTCCACGGCTCGAACCCGTGACCTCCTGGTCACATGGTAGCAACTTTACCAGCAACTTTACAACTTTACCTTAAGATGTGATATAATGCAGAAATCCAAGTAATAAAGTTATGGAGTGGAAGTTTTTATAAGCATTAATACGGAAACATATTGCGAGATGATGCATGGTTAAACATCAATGAACAACCTGGAAAGTGAAATGTTCCCTCCATCCCATTTTCATTCATCTAGTTTACTTCACGGAGAATTGAGTTTGAAGTTTGAACGAGTCATTACATATGAGATTACTAAACATATGATAAAATAATAGTTGGAAGATGTGAAAAAGATATAAAGATGTCACTTCAAATTCAAAGTAGAGTAAAGTATTTATACTAATTGTGCTTTTGGAAGACCTTTGATGTTTCCATTTAAGGGAATTTGTGACCATTGCTGATGCCTAACTGCATTTTGAAAGGGCTTAGATTTTGCTCTGGGAAGATTTTGTTCTTATAATTATAAGTCTGGAATCAACGTATCTACCTAGGGGTAAGGTCTGTGTACAGACTACCCTCTCCAGACCCCACATGTGGGAATATACTGGGCATGTTGTTGTTATTGTTGTAATTGTAAGTCTATATCTGATGCATATCAACGAGAAATGCTGAGAGTATGATGCATTACAAAATACATGATCGTCATTGTTGAGAATTATCTCTATGTACAACAGGATTTGGGCTTCTCATGTTTGGTGGAGTTGTCAATTTGGCTCAACTATTGTTGCTTTAATATTTTATTCTCTTTGTGTACTCTTGACTCTGTTTTTATGATGTGCAGGTCATAGTTGAAAAGGCTGAAAAGAGTGATATTCCCAACATTGACAAGAAAAAGTGAGCACTCATCAATTATTAGTAATCTTTTCTTCATAATATAGATCAAAATGCGACATCATGCTGTAAATGTTTGCTCCATTTTCTTTTGTTAGTTATGTGCCCTTATCATGCGGTATATTCGCTTCTACTTAGTAAATGACCTTTTCCAAAACTTTGGTCTTACCTTCTCCTACCTGGTTATGATTTTTTAGTTTTGCCCGTAAAATTACCTAATTCTTGGTAACATTCATGTAACGTATTAAAATAACCTGTGCACCAGTTTGGCTAAATAACAACGGCTATCTTCACCACCGAACTAACGCATAATATCTTGGCATCTGGTTTTGTTACTAGCAAATGCTTATTCATGTTGCCGAATTGACAAAATTGCAGGTATCTTGTCCCAGCCGACTTAACAGTAGGGCAGTTTGTCTATGTCATTCGCAAAAGGATTAAATTGAGTGCAGAAAAGGCAATTTTCATATTTGTTGATAATGTCCTACCACCAACAGGTGAGTGCTAATAACTAATCTATGAGTACTACATCTGTTTGTTCAGGTTGCCAAAGCATTTGAGAACTATGCTGCTCGAATTCTTTAAAGATGTCGCACCCGTGTTAGATCTTCCAAAAGTTCGCACTTTTGCTGGCAAATTCAAGGAAAGAATCCGACACGAGTGCGACAACATTTTTTAAGGATTTGAGCAAATATAGATTGAAAACCAAGTCTTTTAAAAGGATTCTAACTTTTATGCACTGATAGTGGGTAAAGGATTTTCACACTTACGTGTATTTTTACCAAGTATTTTTACCATCTTTTACAAGTTTGCTAATTCATACCTATAAGTCGCGGTTTCGAGCCGTGGAAGCAGCCACAAATGCTTGCATTAGGGTAGGCTGTCTATATTACACCACTTTGGGTGCGGCCCTTTCCCGGACCCTGCATGAACGAAAGATGCCTTCTGCACTAGGTTGCCTTGCCCTTATCCATCTTTACTTTAGAAACATACCTGGTCCGGGAAAGGACCGGACTACAAGGGTCTATTGTACACCGCCTTACCCTGCATTTCTGCAAGAGGCTGTTTCCACGGCTCGAACCCGTGACCTCCTAGTCACATGGCGGCAACTTTACTAGCTACGCCAAGGCTGTTTCCACGGCTCGAACCCGTGACTTGATAGTGTAAAAATTCTCTAGATATTCAATTTAAGTAGTGAAACTCCTGTTAAAAACAATAATCTGAAAGGGCATATTGGTTGCTTTTTGCAGGTGCGATCATGTCTTCAATCTATGATGAAAAGAAGGATGAAGATGGTTTCCTCTATGTTACCTACAGTGGTGAAAACACATTTGGCTACCTCAACTTAGGGTAGCTTTCATGGCAGCGACTTCCAGTCATTTTCTCAAAGTTCTCTTCATCGTCCATCGACACTGCTGTGTCCTGCTAATATTCAGTTGTTGCCTCTATCTTGTACAGGTTTTAATAATATTACAAATTTGTATATAACCTATAACTGCGTATAGTTCACGAAAACCAAATGCCAGAATCTTTTGGCAACTGATCTTAATAACCAGTTGGATTCAATCTCATTAACAATGGTATATTGGTATTACTGTTCTGGATCAATATCTGTGATTTCACTCCATTGGTTGTTTTTGACATTGCGAAGGTAGAGAGGCTTTTCCACTACTGTATTCCTTTTAAACACTGTATGATGGTGCTTTGCTTAAGCCGAGGGTTTATCAGAAATAACCTCTCTGCCTTCGCAAGTTAGGGCTAAGGTTGCGTACACAATACTCTCTACAGACCCTACTTGTGAAATTGTATTAGATTTGTTGTTGTTGGTTGTTTTTGACACTGTGAATGAATCCGCCCTAAATAGGAATGGATTATATTTCAAGTTGTGTTACTCTCTCTGTCCTATTTTATGTTAAAGGAATCCAATATGTCGCATTTTATTTTAAGGGATTCTGAGCGTGAGTCAGCAGGGGTAAGGTTTGCGTACACACTATCCTTTCCAAAGTCCATTTATGGGAATACACTGGGTTCGTTATTGTTGTTGTTGTTCGAGTGTGAGTGAGAAGTCCTCAGGTATGAGGTTGAAAATGGATTTTCTTCAAATTTAGGATATACATCGAAAATTACATAAAAAGCATGCTGAGGTAATGATTAAAAAAGGAGAGATGTTTGAGAGAATCATAGTAAAAAAAAAAAAAAATGTTGACTTTCCAAATAATAATAATGTTATATAAAATGAAATAGATAGAGTAATATTTTACATTGTAAATTATAACTTTTTGACATTTGGAAGTTATATAAAACTTGAGCAATTGATCCCTTATTTTTACCGTCCAAGATTAGCTGTCAGTTCTTTTATTGCCAAGGGTGATCATTTTACAAAAGCAGTTACCAGCAATAATTATAAGGTTTATTTGATTATTAATCATTTTTTGTCCCTTTTTGGTTGTCTAGAGAAGCTAAACCACCTCTTTAATACTTCTAGTAAATGTAAATAAACATGAAGTGCAGGGGTAACAACAGGCGCCTAGGGTGTCTGTCCCTCCAATCGGAGCTACTCATGGCTTCTCAGTCGCTGCTCGGGCAGGTGCTCTAGTTGCACCACGTCCCCTCTTCGGCCTCTCGTGACTCTAGCAGGGGGCGGGTGTCTGACCGTCGTATCCAGTAGTGCGTGTCATCACTATCTGTGAGAGAATAGAAAGACAAATTCAGATTTCGAAATCAATAAGTTTACACGATAAGAAATCAAAGAAGTGAAATTTCCTAACTGTAAAATTGTACAGCAAAAGTAAATTCTATTAAAAACAATTAATATCTTCTTGGTTTGTTAACACAATACTTGAACAAAAAGACACTTATCTGTGAACAAATAAATATTTGATTTGACACCATCAAGTTCGGCCAACAAGAGGCACAGCTTGCTGTTAAATCAACCTTTAGAATTGCAATTGAGGTATTAATTATTATTATTTTTATAATTATTAGTATTAGAAAGTCAGAATATATTGCGTAATTATTTAAACATAACAGTTTGTCGTAATAAAATATTTGTATAATTTTTAAAAAATATTTCCATTCTTATTTATATTTATTTGATTAAGTATGGGATTAGTCAAACTAAAATAGGGGTGTTAAACGGGCCGGGTTGACCCGGTTCCGGACCGGCCCAGACCGGTAGAACCCAGAACCGGCCCAGACCGGTAAGAGGGGGCTGGGCTGGGCTGGGTAGGGGGTTGGGGGTTTGGACGGTTTAAATTTTTGAAACGGGTAACCGGCCTGGTGAACCCGGTAGAGTTTACTGTTCACTCTTACCGGGTTAAACCGGCCCGACCCGGCCCGGTTCAGCGGATAGTTTTTTTTTGTTTTTTTTTCTAATTTTCGAATTGAATGGGCCCACAGACCGTTTGCAACGGTCAGATTCTGATTTGGTCCGTTGGCCAACGGGTCTTTTGCACAAACAGCTTATTTTTTTTTTTAATTTTTAACCCTTTTTCAATTTACAAAACTAACCTTCTCTAAAACTATAATATCCCCCCCCCCCCTTACTTCATTTCTTCACTCAATACTCATTTCTCAATCTCAATTTCTCTCATTCTCTCATTCTCCAATTTGCAAGACTTCAAGTCTCAATCTCAAATTCTCAATTCTCAATTCTCAATTCTCAAATCTCAAGTTAAATCATGCCTCGTACTTCTAGAGTGCGCTCATATGTTTGACAACACTTTGAGGTGGCAGAAGAAAATGAAGAAGGTCAGAAATTAAAGTGCAAGAACTGTGGTCAAGTCTTAAAATTTCGTTCAGAGTGTGACACAGGCAGTTTAAGGAGGCATAAAAAGTATTGTCTTTAGCGTCCTCCGGAAATTCGTATTTTAGATTTTTCGACAATTTGTGTTATTTTAAAATTATTAGACGTATTTATCCTTAATGTTTTAGTTTGTTAGATTAATTTGAAGTATTATTAATTTATTATGCATGAAAATTTAGTTTTACTATTTTTTTGTTAATTTACTTTTTAAATGCAAACTTTAATTTTGAATTTTGAAATAAATGTAGTACTTGCAATTTATAAGTGCAATTTTTTCCCATCTTCCTTGTATTCTTTAAATTAATACAAAGTATTAATATAACTTACAATAGTTATACAAAATTCCAAAAAAAAAAAAAATTAAAAATGCACTAAACCCGGCCCGGCCCGGCTCCCTCAACCCGTAACCCTTACGGTTCAATTTTTACCCGGATGAACCCGAACCCGTTAAGAACCAACCCGGAACCGGCCCGGACCGTAACCCATTCGGGTCCAAAAAATAGAGGCTCGGCCCGGCCCGACACACCCGTTTAACACCCTTAAACTAAAATGATGCAAATTTAAATAAGTCGGCTAGTGAATACGTACTAAATATCAAATAATTATATAAAGAACTATTAAATACTTATTTAACAGATGTGTTAAAACATGAATTTGTCCATCTAGTCTCCTCTAATGTCTTAATGTCATATGCAATTAACTACGCTTAAGCTAAAACTACAAAAAAGATTTCATTTTGGATATTGTTGTGGCATTTTCTTGGCTAATTACTGCTAATAAGTAGGATAAAATCTTTTGCATTGGATATTTGTACCAAATCATATTAATCTATTGGTTAAATGAATTAATAAAATAAAAATATATAATATATATTAGTTAACTATGTTTAAGTGAGAAAATATACATACAAATACACTATATACATCTATTAATTTAACGTAAAATTTGTATATTTTTGTATATATATACATTTATATACAATTTTTTTTATATGTTATATATAAAAATTATACAAATTTTATATATTTTTTCAGCTATTATTTTTACGGCGACCGTACAATGTCATTTTCTCACAAATTTTTACCAGATAAATAGTGTCAAGTGTGTGACTGTGTGTAATGCTTCGTTGGTAATAGTAATCCGCCGTCCTTTCCACTTTCCACTTTTGCACTCTTCCATCAATCTCAGAAAATACTGTTTATATCACATTATATTAATTAATAATATATTAAAATAAAAATATACTTTCTCTGTTTACTTTTATTTGGTACTTTTTTTCCAGAAATAATAAATGAAGGTTATATTTTACTATAGTACACAATAATAATCTTAAGAGCTCAAGAAAAGAAAGTATATTTTACTAAATTTTTAATCAAATATTCTTTTGTTTTTCAAATTTAATTTATTATTCAAACTATAGTACACAATAATAATCTTAAGAGCTCAAGAAAAGAAAGTATATTTTACTATATTTTTAATCAAATATTCTTTTGTTTTTCAAATTTAATTTATTATTCAAACACCTACTTATTTTGGTTTATATCAGAGATCCTTTTTTGGGTTGAAGTAGTGAAAAAATGCACACAAGTTCTTGATTTGACACCATCAAGTTCGGCCAACAACATGCACAGCTTGCTGTTACATCAACGTCGAGAATTACAATTGAGGTATTAATTATTTATTATAGGCAGAATAGCCTAAATGGCACTCGTACTTCATCCACTTTGTCATGCCGGTCCCCAAACTTACATATTTGCTAATTGAACACTTATACTCATTCAAAACGTGAATAATAAACGCTTATCCAACGTGGCTTATCCTATGTGTCATATGTGGCTGCAGTGCGTGATTCACACGCCTGTAAGGGGCGTGAAGACAGTAAAAAAAGCCCTAACGGTAATAGTTTAGCCTATTTAACATCCCCATCTTCTTCTTTGTACCTTATTCTCCATTGTTGAACATTGTAGAAGCTAAATTTAGCAAATCTGATGCCTTCTTCTTTCTTTGTTAGCTTCAACTGTCAAAAATAGAATTTTAATTTCATGTGAATCTTCTTTGCCCATCAATTTTTGCAATCTCCTTTTGTTTTGAAAGTGGATTTTTTTCTGCTTCTCCTGCAACAAATACGCTAATGCCGCCTCTTCTCCTTCAACAATGAGGATGCAACCTTTGTGTTATTGTGGAGTTGCTGCAGATCTTAAAATATCACGAACACCCACCAATCCTGGAAGGAGGTTCCTGGGCTGCCGAAGATATGAGATTGGTGAAGGTTGTGGCTTTTTCAGATGGGTTGATCGTGCGATTGAGGAAGAACACTACAAGACTCTTCTTGCGGCTCTTATTAAGAAGAGTGATCGATGCCATTGTCAAAGAAGTCAAGGAAGGTCGAAGTTGAGAGTTGCTGCTATTATAATTGTGGTTGTACTTGTTCTAATGTTAGCTATTATGTTATTTGTTTAGGATTGATAGTGCACTTTGTTATTTCCTGGGTTTAGGCTACATATTTTGTGTTGATGTAAAATTTTGTTCATGAAATATATTGACAAAGGCTCCATTACAGCAACAAGTACTAATATAATGGCCTGTGTTATAGGCAGTTAATAAAACATCCAAAATAAGGGAGTTGGTTTACAAAATATTGTCAATGATAGGCAATCAACAAAAACATACATAATGAAGTAGCTTTACAAAATATTGTCTACCACAGTCAACAAAAACATAGTAAATATCAGTTGAGCACTTCAATTAATGTCTGTTGTGGCTTGGCTGCTTGGTGTGGATTGTGTAACTGGTGTGGCTTGAGTGGTTGTAGCAGACTTT